AGTTGATTAGGAATTTTTTTTAGCTTAAAAGAATTTCTAAGTTAATTAGGAATTGTTTTAAGGAGTTTTAGGTTAAGTAGAATTAGTCTTATTACTAGTTTCCTAGTTTAGGTGGAATTGGTTCTCCTATTTTATCTAGGATACTTGGGGATCAAGGCTAGGGTTTTTTTCCTAGTTCAAATAGACTTAGGAATAGTTAGTTTTAGTCTATAAATAATGTAATTTTTGTGATTTTTCAATAACATTCGAAAATCATTAAAATTCAAGTTAATTGTTTGTTTTGCTTAATTGCTTACAAATTCTTTTCCTAGTTTTCAATTCAAGGATTTGTTTTGATAATTAGAACGTTCAATTCTTAGTTCTAGGAGTAGTCTAAGTTTTGTTCATCAAAGTACTTAGTTCCAGGAGTGGTCTAGGTAATTTGAGAGGCGTTGAATTCGTTCCAGGAGTGGTCGTTTTCAAAGTCATATCCGGTTCGTTATTCTTAAGTTGTTCGATTTTCTTAGGAAATTCAAAGGGCTTGTGTTACTTGTGTGATTTTAGATTCTTTATTAAGTTAAGGGGTTTAAATCCATATCAGTCAAACACATTCAAACAAAGCTTTTTGAATCAAATAAAAGTCAAACACATTTAAACAAAGCTAATTAAATCAAATGAAAGTAAAACACATTCAAACAAAGCTGTCTGAATCAAATGAAAGACAAATACATTCAACAAAGCTAATTAAATCAAATGAAAGTCAAATGCATTGTACAAAGCTAATTGAATCAAATGAATGTCAAACACTTTCAAACAAAGCTAATTAAATAAAATGAAAGTCAAACACATTCAAACAAAGCTTTTTGAATCAAATAAAAGTCAAACACATTCAAACAAAGCTAATTGAATCAAATGAAAGTAAAACACATTCAAACAAAGCTGAATGAATCAAATGAAAGTAAAACACATTCAAACAAAGCTGATTAAATCAAATGAAAGTAAAACACATTCAAACAAAGCTTTATGAATCAAATAAAAGTCAAACACATTTAAACAAAGCTAATTAAATCAAATGAAAGTAAAACACATTCAAACAAAGCTAATTGAATCAAATGAAAGTCAAATACATTCAAACAAAGCTTTTTGAATCAAATAAAAGTCAAACACATTTAAACAAAGCTAATTAAATCAAATGAAAGTAAAACACATTCAAACAAAGCTTTCTGAATCAAATGAAAGTCAAACACATTCAAACAAAGCTAATTGAATAAAATGAAAGTCAAACTGGTGTGCCTCTATCGTATGCAACCAAAAATATCACAACTAAGCTAACTGCAAATAAACGTAGTTAGGGGAGTCGAGTTCGAATCCACAGGGAAAAAGGGACTAATAACTGCAAACCTAAGTGGAATTACTCTAGGAACGTAGAAATCTAAGTAACAAGAGGGTTTTGACAAGCAATGGTGACAATTAAACTAAATCAGAACAATGAACGTAAATAGTATGCAATCAATGAGAATAACGGTCTTGGTTATGCGAAATCCACAATTGAACATACAAATTGATCATAGAAGCCTCTTCAATCAAACACTATTGAACACCTTGTTGTAGAATTCTAAATTCTAAATTCTCATAAGCTAGTTAGAAATAGCAAAGCGCTCCTTTCTAACCCTTTCTAATGTATAATTTAAGACAAGCGCTCTAAATCATCCACAAGAAGAACATAAACGGAGAAATCAACAAGGATTGAATAAATTAACACAAGCGGTCTAATTTCTTCAATAATATTATTCCCTCTTTAAGTTATCAATCAAAAGCATGCATTCATAACCCAAAGTTGCTACTTTGGAAAGATTAATTAGATGCAAGCGAATCTAACAATTCTAACCTAGCAATTGATTAAAGCAAATCATGAAATTATTCAAAGGAATAATAAACATTCAATAGATAATAAAGAGAAAAGAAATCTCACAATTCGTAGCCAAAAGCTTCAATCTTTAACCAAGAATCCGGAAGATTAAGCTTCCATGGATTCTAATTCAAAAACAAAGATTTCTGAAATTTGCCAAGAACCCTAGAAAACTTTTACTTCTCTCTAACTTAATTCTCACTAATTAATCTCTTTAACTCTTCATAAAAATAGACTATATATATGTTTTCATACTTAAATAACATAAAACAATAATAAAAATAATAAATAAATACAAAACACGAGCCAAGACAAAGCAAACTGCTGAAAAATAACCAAAACAGGCCCCGAAATCTGGAAGACCCGCTGCCAGCTGCTCGGGACCCGCTTGCAGCGGCTAAAGCAGCAAAACACTTCGTCCTCTCTGGCTGACCCGCTGCCAGCGGTTCTGCTGTCTTCTGCTGTCTTCTTTGCTCTTTCTTCTAGCTTTGCTTCACCTTTACTCAAGCTTTCTCCCTTGCTCTTCCAAGCTCCATCACGCTTCTCAAATCACGAGCTAAGGTCCATACTCTATAATCCTCCTCCTTAGTTCCCGAACTCACTCACTAACACCTATAAATCCCGGCTGTTGCACACAAGTGAGATCACCGCCCGAAACTCACAAAAGCTATTAAAAACTCATGCACAACATCAAAACACACCCTAAAACTCTTCTCTCAACCCTTGATAAGACGGCTTATCAAATTCCCCCATACTTGAACCTTTACTCGCCCTCGAGTAAACTTAGAGAATAGAACACATCTCCCCATTAAGGTTCAAAACAGAAGATGGCGGAACCGAACAAGCTCTACGCATTCAAACTCAAGAAGACATCCTAGCAACCACCAACTAACCGCCTTCTCACTTCACAAACTCCCTTTTTTCATTTTTTTTATATTCAACTCATCCCCCAAAACCAACCTAGAACAACAAGCACATAGCCAAGAGCATAGATATTCTCAACTATCCTACCACACGAAACTTTTGATAAAATTGGGCAAACAAGACTCAACTAAACCAAAAGTCCACAAAAAAAAAACACTTCCACACTCAAAAGTCAAGAAAAATAACTCTAGCTTTCTAAGCATGATCAACACTTCTCCCGAACTTCAACTATCTCCCGAAAACATCAAGATGAGACCTACCCGACACCTCCATATTTCTCCTCCCCTTATGACACCGACTCCGGCAAATAGATGCGCAAATTCACGAATTTTTCTCTCTCTTCTCTCATTTTGCCTAGGAGCCCTTTCGGGTTTTCATCCTAGCCTCTCATCTTTTTCCAAATCTCACTTTCTCACCCACTCATTAGCCACTTTTTTGCTTAGGTCGCCCTTTCGGGTTTTCAACCTAACCGCGCCCCCATTTTTGCCTAAGCCGCCTTTTCAGGTTTTCGGCTTAGCGGGTTTCTTTTTCTTTTTCTTTCTTTTTTTTTCAATTTTTTTTTCTTTTTTCTTTTTCTTTTTGCCTATTTTTTTTCATTGAACCACAATTAAGATAGTTATACAAAACATGAAATCAAGATAACTATACAAAATTTCAAAAATATGCAATGAAAAGCTTCCCCCCCCCTACTTAAATGAGGCATTGTCCTCGATGCAAGAACAACTACAATGAAACCAAAAGTAAGGGAAAAGGAAGAAAATCGTTACCATCTCAATGAGAGGGACCTCCAGAGCCAGAAGAGCCGGCATCACCCCAAGAAGCACGCCTCTCGGAAAGACGCAAAGCACGGGATGCCAGGTGATCCATGAACGCCTCAGTTGGGGGCTCATACTGTGGATATTGAGCGGTATAAAACCGACTCATGCTTCTCTGATATGGAAGCAGCTCTTGCATCCCATCGCACACCTCCTCTAGTCTATCATCTACATCAGCCCTCCAGTGAGGCCAATCATCGTGCTGCACTCCAGCAGCATCCTCACCCCCTTCCTCATCAACAAACTCTCCGCCCATATGAACATCGGGATTCTCCTCTCCCATGTTCTCAATTATTACTTCGGCATCTCCCAAATAGGGGGCAACATCCGGGTCGGGCGCAAGGAAAAAGTCTGCGGCAGCAGGGCCAAAAGGTAATGCTCGTCCCTCGGGACGAGGAATTCTCAAATAGTTCAAACCCTGTGGTCCGTATCGCCAGAAATAACTACCGGCGACGAGGGAATGCGATAATAGACCGATCTTGACCAGAGTCATGATGTTATACGTTAAGTATGCCGAATCTACTGGCACAAGATCCTCAGGGGGTGGAACATTCAAATAACAAGCAAGCAAAGAGACCATGCCACCCATGCTAATGTGGCCACTGGAGTTTGACCGCACCTTTACACAACTGTCAACAAAAATCTCGACCCAATTGGGAGTACCGACACCCTCAGGGGTCATCGCCCACAAATAAGACAATGTAATTTTGGGAACCTTAGTGGCTTCCCCTTGACATAGAATAGTGGACGAAATAAACCTATGCACGAGTCTAAGGCATGGGTGAGTGATCTTGAAGCTATGATCACCATGAGGGTCAACTTCACAACCAGTTATAGCCCTCCAAAATGTTCGGGACGAGTACGTGCTATAATCACCCCAATGGTTCACCAATGGGGGTGCATCCCAACCAAATGCCATTCGCATATCATCATAAGACACAACATAATTCCTATTATTCAAATTAAAGGATATTTGATCACGTCCTTTAGTAAGAGTGGAAAGGAATTCATAGGTATACCTGACATAGGTGGGGGCGCATTTGGTCATGAAATTCTCCAGACCCACCTTCCGTAGCAAGAGCCGCACTACTTCCTCCATGTCTAGCTCTTGCAAAGCTTCTAAGTCAAAAAACTTGGTTCATTGCACCGTTCGTCGTGGTTGTTGAAGCTTAGTCCATATCCCCTTCTCCTTGGAATTCAACCGCATACCCATGAATCCATCCCCTCGAGGCAATGGAGGTGCCTCACCTTGACTAGAAGAAGCACCTTGCTTCTTGCCCCTTGGGGGTCTTGATGGAGATGATGCCTTAGACCTCTTGTTATCCCCACCCATGACTCTAATTGTATGCTTGTACCTTTACCTTCACTTTCAATTACGAGAAATTCAACTTGCACAACTGCACAACCAACTCAATGTCAAACTTGAAATCAAGAGAAAATGGAAAATCTAGGTTGTAATTGTGATGGGAATTGAGGAGTGGATGAAAGGCAAGGACTTGGGAAAGGGAGATTGGTAGGGGATCGGTGCAATTGGAGTAAGGGGATGAAAGAATAGAGAGAAGGAGGAGAAAAAGAGTAAGGGTTTGTGGGAAATGGGGTTTATGAAAGGAGTAATGAAGGTAGGAGTGGGAAAGGGGGAAATAAGGGGTAAAATATCGGTTTTTGGTTTTTGGGGTTTTCTAGGCTGGAAGACCCGCTGCCAGCGGGTACGGGGCAGCTGGCAGCGGCTGATACTGATGCCTTTGGCTCTGGGGTAAAATATCGGTTTTTTAATTTGTTTTTTTTTTTTTTTTTTTTTTTTTTTAGGGGGGGGGGGTGCCGCTGGCAGCGGCTCTGCAGCAGCTACCAGCGGCTGGGACAGAGCCTGGGGTTTTTGGGCTGCCTGAAGACCCGCTCTGCAGCAGCTGCCAGCGGCTTTAGCGGGGAATGTCCCCTTTGGCTCTGTTTCAGCTTGTTTTTGCTGTGTTTCGGGCATAAAAGATGCTCCCGAGGCCTCCACCTACATAGAAACAACAAAAACACTCTTCACATCACAAGAAAAATTAAAAAAAAAAAAAATAAACTACGAAAAGAAATGGGGAAGAGTTTTCGATCGGGTTGCCTCCCGATTAGCGCCTTTGTTTTACGTCGTTGGCTCGACGCGGCTCATCCCACTTCGCTACTCCATTGATGGCTCGTAGAGATCGATGCTCTCCACGTTCTCGGTTTTGAAACCCTCGAAGTAGGGTTTGAGCCTTTGTCCATTGACTTTGAAAACCTTATCGGTCTCGAGGCTTTGAATTTCAACTGCTCCATGCGGATATACGTTCACCACTTGAAAAGGGCCCTCCCAACGGGACCGAAGTTTTCCCGGAAATAATCTAAGTCGGGATTGATATAGGAGTACTTTGTCACCGACTTTGAACTCCTTCCGCGTGATCATTCGATCATGCCATAGCTTGGTCTTTGCTTTATAAGTATCGGCATTCTCATAGGACTCAAGCCGGATCTCCTCTAGTTCTTGGAGTTGCAATTTCCGATGTTCACCCGCTTCATCCAATTGCATGTTAAATGACTTAACCGCCCAATATGCTTTATGCTCAAGCTCAACCGGAAGATGGCACGGTTTTCCGAAGATAAGGCGGTAAGGGGACATCCCGATAGGTGTTTTGTATGCGGTGCGGTACGCCCATAGAGCATCCTCCAACCTCAAACTCCAATCCTTCCTATCCGGATTCACCGTTTTCTGCAGAATTGACTTCACCTCTCTATTGGACACCTCGGCTTGCCCATTGGTTTGTGGGTGACAAGCCGTGGAGATTTTGTGGTGAACGGAGTACTTCCTCAACATAGCACCCACTGTACGGTTGCAAAAGTGCGTTCCTCGGTCACTTATCAACGCCCTCGGGATTCCAAACCTAGAAAATATGTAAGATTTTATAAAACCTGAAACCACTTTAGAATCGTCAGTCCTAGTGGGTATTGCTTCCACCCACTTCGACACATAATCACAAGCAAGAAGTATATAAGTAAAACCGTGAGAAATAGGGAATGGTCCCATGAAATCTATACCCCAAACATCAAATATTTCACAATATAGTAAAGAGGATTGGGGCATTTCACTTTTCTGGGAAATGTTACCTACTCTCTGGCAATTATCACAAGATTTACAAAATCCATAGGAATCTCGAAACAAACTTGGCCAGTAAAAAACCACAGTCAAGAACCTTCCTTGCTGTGCGTTTGGCTCCAAAGTGTCCGCCACAACCATGAGAATGACAGAAGGTGAGAATAGGGATCACCTCATTTTCGGGAATGCATCTGCGAATGATTTGATCGGAGCAGAACTTCCACAAGTATGGATCATCCCATGCATAGTACTTCGCATCATTTCGAAGCTTGTCCTTTTGAGACTTTGTGAAACCTGGAGGAAACTGTTGAGAAACCAGAAAATTCACAATGTTAGCAAACCAAGGCCGCAAATCCTTAAGAGCAAATAAAGATTCATCCGGAAATTCTCCTAGGATTTGGTATGGAAATGATGGTTGATCAACAATATGGGACAAACAACTCAAATGATCAGCAACTAGATTTTCCGCGCCTATCTTGTCCTTGATTTCCAACTCAAACTCACATAAGAGCAGAATCCATCTTATTAGTCTTGGTTTGGCTTCTTTCTTCGTCATCAAGTGGCGAAGAGCTGCATGATCAGTGAAAACAATTACTTTAGTACCAAGCAAATAAGATCGAAACTTTTCTAGAGCAAATACTACAGCTAACAACTCTTTTTCTGTGGTAGTGTAGTTTCGTTGGGCTGAATTGAGGGTCATTGAGGCATAATAGATCACATGAGATGCCCTCCCTACTTTCTGGCCTAACACAGCTCCAACTGCATAATCACTCGCATCACACATTATCTCAAATGGTAGAGACCAATCTAGGGCTTGAATGATAGGGGCAGAAATGAGCTTAGCCTTCAATTCGTCGAAAGCCTTCTTGCAATCATCATCAAAGTGGAATTTCACATCTTTCTGCAGCAATTTGCACATAGCATTCGCAAGCTTTGAGAATCCGTCAATGAACCTACGATAGAAACCCGCATGGCCAAGAAAAGAACGCACTTCACGCACATTAGTAGGATAAGGAAGAGACTAAATAGTATCAATCTTAGCCTTATCAACCTCAATACCTCTAGAAGAGACTACATGACCTAACACAATGCTCTGTTGGACCATAAAATGACATTTCTCAGAATTTAGGACGAGGTTAGAGTCAATACATCTTTTAAGGACCATAGATAAGTGATGCAAGCATTTATCAAAAGAATCACCATAAACAGTGAAATCATCCATAAATACTTCCATGAAATGCTCAACGAACTCAGAAAAGATGCTCATCATGCATCGCTGAAAGGTTGCAGGTGCATTACATAGTCCAAAAGGCATACGTCGATACGCAAATATGCCAAAAGGACATGTAAAAGTTGTCTTCTCTTGATCTTCAGGTGCAATGGGCACTTGAAAGTACCCAGAATACCCATCAAGGAAACAGTAATAAGATTTCCTTGCAAGTCTTTCGATCATTTGGTCAATAAAAGGTAAAGGGAAATGGTCTTTCCTAGTTACTGCATTCAACCTACGATAATCAAGGCAAACTCGCCAACCATTTTTAACTCTAGTAGGAACCATTTCACCCTGTTGATTTTCTACCACAGTCACACCACTTTTCTTAGGAACCACCTGCGTAGGACTGACCCATTTACTATCAGATATAGGAAATATCATTCCTACTTGCAATAATTTTATGATCTCCTTCTTTACCACTTCCATCATGGGAGGATTCAGGCGACGCTGAGGTTGCCTCACAGGTTTGGCATCATGTTCTAGCAGAATACGATGCATGCAAGTGGATGGACTTATTCAATAGCTAACTTGTGCTCTTTCAGCACTGTCACCAACTTGTCCTCTTGCTCTTTGGTCAATTTGCTTGAAATTATAACAGGTAAAGTATCGTTCTGACCAAGGAACACATATTTCAAATGATCAGGAAGTGGTTTTAGCTCCACCTGGGGTGCCTGCAAAACAGAAGGTAAGAGTTTATCAGTAGGCACTGTCAATGGGGTAGGTGTCGAACCTGGTGGTCTAAGTGGGAGCTTGGAATGGTTATTCAACTCTGCTACCATCATCTGCACACTATTAGGCAAAGGGATATCCAAACAATCAGCAGATAAATCATTAGAAATGGAAGTGAGGAGCGCATCCTCGCCCTCAACATCGAAGACATCCTGCACTATAGGATCAATGATATCAATGGAACACAAAGAATGAGTGTCAACAGGATATTTCATGGAATTATAGATGTTATACACAATTTCTTGCCCATCAAACTCCATAGTTAAAGAACCAGTAAAAACATCAATTTTAGTCCTAGCAGTTTTCAAGAAGGGTCTTCCTAACAAGATGGGAACTGCTTGTCTATCATGTTCCATATCAAGCACATAAAAATCAGCAGGAAAAATTAGTTCATCAACTTTCACAAGCACATCTTCTACCACTCCCTTAGGGTAAACATTTGACCTATCAGCTAATTGAATCACTACCTCGGTTTCATGTAAAGGTCCAAGTTCCAAAGATTTGAACAGGGAATATGGAATAACATTAATTGATGCACCCAAATCCAACATAGCTCTATGAAAAGTGGTGTCCCCTATTGTAACTGGAACAGTAAATATACCAGGATCACTGCATTTTTCAGGAAGTTTCTTTTGGAAAACTGCAGAAACATGAGCACTCACTTTCACTTTTTCCTTCCCTCCTAACCTGTTCTTCCTCTTTATAGTACACAGTTCTTTCAAAAATTTAGCAAATCGAGGAACACTTTTTATTAAATTCAAAAGGGGAATGTTTACCTCACACTTGCTGAATGTTTCATAGATGTCTTTGTCTTTCTCATACCTCTTTGTTTCTTTCAAAGCTTCAGGAAAAGGTGGTGTGGGTTTATAAGATGGAAAAGTGGGAGGATCTGCTACAGCTTCATGTTCCACTTCCTTCTCTTCAGCTCCAATCAACTCTTCAGCCCTCTTGGTTGCAATTTCAGTCTCTTTGAGCTCCTTGCCACTCCTCAATGTAATAGCGTTGGCTTGTTGCTTAGGATTCAACTCCGTTTGAGATGGAAGTTTTCCTGAATCTTTAGCTTCAAGTCTGCTCACTGCACTTGAAATTTGGCTCACTTGACTTTCCAAATTCTGAATACTGGATTTGGTTTCTTGCTGGAATTGCACCATGTTTTGCTGCATAGTAGAAACATTAGAAGTTAGTGATCTAATCATTTCTTCAGTTGACATATTACTCGAATTTGAGCTTTGGCCTTGAGGTTTGGCTAATGGTGCCCTATATTGCTGATATTGCTGCTGGCCTTGAGCATTTTGCTGTTGTTATTGGTTCCCCTGGGAATTCCCATATCTCAAATTTGGATGATCCCTCCATCCTGGATTGTATGTATTTGAATATGGATCATATCTTCTCTGAGGACCTTGCCCTTGGAAACCCATTGCATTGGCCTGCTCATTCTGCTCCTCTTGTAATTGAGGACATGCATCAGCGGGATGTCCCATGGAGGTGCATAAACCACAAGCATTCAGTTGTTGTGGATTCCTTGAGTTCACCATGAACTCACGCATCATAGAAGTCAAATCAGCTACTTGACTCTCTAACTCAGTTGTATTCGAATTTGCTAAATTCACCCGGCGCGTGGGAGTTCTCTGACTGAATTGCCTAGAATTTTCTGCTAGCTCTGCAATCAACCTAGTTGCATCTCCTGGAGTCTTATTCACTAGCCCTCCACCACTTGCTGCATTCACCATCCTCAAGTCATCATCAGTTAGACCTCCATAGAAGTATAGGATGAGGTCTTGATCGGAATACCCATGGTAAGGACAACTAGCACACAATCTCTTAAATCTCTCCCAATACTCATACAAGGATTCATCTTCCTTCTGATCCACATTGCTGATAGCTTTCTTAAGGCTTGCATAAATAGTGGCTGGGTAGTACTTCTCAAGGAAACACTTCTTTAAATCTGCCCAAGTTGTTATGCTACCTGGGGGAAGATAGTAAAACCAATCATTTGCTGCATCTTTGAGAGAAAAAGGAAATGCTCTCAACTGAATTTGTTCATCAGTCATCCCAATCGGTTTCATGCTAGTGCAAACCACATGAAATTCTGCCAGATGTTTATTCGGATCTTCGCCTTTCATGCCATGGAATGCCGGCAATAGATGAATTAAACCGGATTTGATCTCAACATTAGTACCTTCCTCCAACTGCTGGTATGCAATGCACAACGGTTGTTGGTTCAAGTTGGGAGCTGTGAGTTCCCTTAGAGTTCGATTGTCAGCCATCTCCTCTTCTTCTTGAATAATGAAGGAGTACGTTGATTCACTGGGGGTTGTTCTTGCCTCTTTTCGCAACCTGGAAATATTCCTTTCAATTTCTGGATCAAACTGCAAAACTTCTTTGTTAGCAGAATGGGTACTTATCATACCCTAGCGAACAAACAAAGAAAGATAGCTAAGAACATTCCTAAAATAAATTCTACTAAGATAAACAATTAAAAAGTAACGCCTTAAATCCCCGGCAACGGCGCCAAAATTTGATGTGCCTCTGTCGTATGCAACCAAAAATATCACAACTAAGCTAACTGCAAATAAACGTAGTTAGGGGAGTCGAGTTCGAATCCACAGGGAAAAAGGGACTAATAACTGCAAACCTAAGTGGAATTACTCTAGGAACGTAGAAATCTAAGTAACAAGGGGGTTTTGACAAGCAATGGTGACAATTAAACTAAATCAGAACAATGAACGTAAATAGTATGCAATCAATGAGAATAACGGTCTTGGTTATGCGAAATCCACAATTGAACATACAAATTGATCATAGAAGCCTCTTCAATCAAACACTATTGAACACCTTGTTGTAGAATTCTAAATTCTAAATTCTCATAAGCTAGTTAGAAATAGCAAAGCACTCCTTTCTAACCCTTTCTAATGTATAATTTAAGACAAGCGCTCTAAATCATCCACAAGAAGAACATAAACGGAGAAATCAACAAGGATTGAATAAATTAACACAAGCGGTCTAATTTCTTCAATAATATTATTCCCTCTTTAAGTTATCAATCAAAAGCATGCATTCATAACCTAAAGTTGCTACTTTGGAAAGATTAATTAGATGCAAGCGAATCTAACAATTCTAACCTAGAAATTGATTAAAGCAAATCATGAAATAATTCAAAGGAATAATAAACATTCAATAGATAATAAAGAGAAAAGAAATCTCACAATTCGTAGCCAAAAGCTTCAATCTTTAACCAAGAATCCGGAAGATTAAGCTTCCATGGATTCTAATTCAAAAACAAAGATTTCTGAAATTTGCCAAGAACCCTAGAAAACTTTTACTTCTCTCTAACTTAATTCTCACTAATTAATCTCTTTAACTCTTCATAAAAATAGACTATATATATGTTTCCATACTTAAATAACATAAAACAATAATAAAAATAATAAATAAATACAAAACACGAGCCAAGACAAAGCAAACTGCTGAAAAATAACCAAAACAGGCCCCGAAATCTGGAAGACCCGCTGCCAGCTGCTCGGGACCCGCTGGCAGCGGCTAAAGCAGCAAAACACTTCGTCCTCTCTGGCTGAAACAAAGCTTTTTGAATCAAATAAAAGTCAAACACATTAAAAAAAAGCTAATTGAATCAAATGAAAGACAAACAGATTCAAGCAAAGCTAATTGAATCAAATAAAAAAAACACATTCAAATAAATCTTTTTGAATCAAATGAAAGTCAAATGCATTCAATAAAGCTAATTAAATCAAATGATAGTCAAACACAGTGAACCAAAGCTTTTTGAATCAAATTAAAATCTAATGCATTTAACAAAGCTAATTTAATCAAATGAAAGTAAAATGCATTCTCCAAAGCTAATTGAATCAAATGAAAGTCAAACACATTCAAACAAAGCTGATTGAATAAAAAAAAAG